ACTGTCCAGAAGATGGATTGACAGGGTTTGAACAATTGTGAAGATAGCAAACAATTGTAAGACTGGGCAAGTGTTTTCTTCTATTTTTCAGAGGGTTACTATGAAGTGGAACTGGCTCAAGGACACCCAACCAAAACAACAGCAATTTGACGATGTTGGAAAGGATAAGATACCATATGATGAAAGCACTCATCTTATAGACTGTTCATAACAGGCTGGTGTTGCTAGGTGCCATTGAGTCAGTTCCGACTCACAGCAAGTAAATGTACAGCAGAACAAAATACTGCCCGGTCCTGAGCCATCCTCACATATGTTCTTATGTTTAAGCCAATTGTTGCTGCCACTTGTCAATCCATCCTCTTTTTGGTCTTCCTCTTTTTATGCTGCCCTCTATGTTACCAAGCATAATGTCCTTCTCTAGTAATTGGCCTCTCCTAATATATCCAAAGCATGTGAGATGCAGTCTCAATAAAAATGCTTCTAAGGAGCATTCTGGATGTACTTCTTCCAACATTTATTTGTTTGTTGTTTTGGAGTACACAGTACCTTCAATATTCTTTATCAGCACCACAATTTAAATGCAGTGATTCTCCTTCAGTCTTCCTTATTCAGGGTCAAACTTTCAGACACATATGAGATAACTGAAAATACCATAGCTTGTGCCACAGGGACACCGTAGTTCTCAAAGTAACATCTTTGCTTTTCAACACCTTAAAGAGGCCTTGTTCAGCAGATTCGCCTAATGGAATACATCGTTTGAGCTCTCAACCGTTGCTTCCATGAGCAGATTGTGGATCCAAGGCAGAAGGAAGTTTTCACAAATTCAATCTTTGCTCAATTTATCATAATGCTACATATTGGTCCAGTTATAAGGATTCTGGTTTTTTTCACATTGAGTTCTATTCCATACTGAAGGCGGCAATCATTGATCTTCATCAGCAAGAGCTTCACAACATCCTTCTTTTCAGGGAGCAAGGTTGTGATATCTACATACCAAGGGCTGTTAATAAGCCTTCCTCCAATCCTGACGCCACAATCTTCTTCATAAAAACCAGCTTCTAGCATACAGATTGAATAAATATGGTGAGAAGACAGAACCCTGATTTTAAGTCATGCCGTATTTCCTTGTTTGCAAAACTGCCTCTTGATCCACGTACAGATTCCACATGAGCACGATAGTGTTCTAAAATTCTTATTCTTCTCAAGGATCCCTGTAGCTTATTATGGTCCACACAGTTGAAAACCTTTGCATAGTCAATGAAACACAAATAAACATCTTTCTCATATTATCTGCTTTCAGCCAAGAAACACCTGACATCAGCAATGATATATCCCTTGTTCCCCATTCTCTTTCTAAATACAGCCTGAACCTCTGACAGCTGCCTACCAATGTACTGCTGCAACCGTCGTTGGATGATTTTCAGCAAAATGTTACTTGTTTTGCAATACTAATAATGCAATGGATGAGAATAAAAATCTGGCCCAACACACTCTGGAAAGCCTTATCTAAAAGGTCTAGTCTAACACATGTATTCTGCTTTTCTCAATGAATCTTTTAATTTTTATTATAAGGTTGCCTGCCTCCAAGCCCTAAGGCCTTCTGCCCATCCCACTTTCTCTCTGTGACTAAACCCTTGAGCACAATGATCTATGAAGCCTTCATTACAACCAAGAAGCTCAGAAACTGCCCCTATCTCCAACAGAGACCCAGGAGTTAGGAAGAAATTCTACACTGAAGGTAATTATATTGGAGAAAAAAGGAAGTCTGTCTTGGAAATGATCCAGTCAGTTGAAACAAATGGCACCTGTTTTACTTGTGTGATACCAAAAAAAAAAAAAAAAAAAAAAGGCCCTAGGGGATTTTCTTCACCACATGAACACGGAGAACCCAGAAGTACAGTTCTGTGGTTTAGGGTCAATATAGCTCAGTAAGCAGACCTAACTAATCTACTTACACAGCATAGCAGTGACCTTCAAGCTACAGAATCATTTCAGAAAAGCCACAGCACTTTACAGATATATGCCAGAGGATGTGCTTAATAAAGTTAAAGACTTCAAGTATCCAAAAGAAGGTAAATCCAAAAAAAAAAAAGGTTATAAAAAAACATATAGGTAAAAAATATTACCTGTTCCTAGGAAAATGGGGTGAAAAGTGAATAAATACAATGAGAATTCTATTGTCCCTGAGATTACCATCTAAAATTAATATAGACTTTTAATTCTATAGTGTGGGAATCATTTCCTTTGTAAGAATTAATACCAAACTACACCCAAGGAGTTGGAGATTAAAGAAATCTCGTAAATCCCACTCTTGCAATTCTGCTCCATACCCCCACACCCTTGAGTACATTCCCTCATGTCTCTGGGTTCGGCAAACTGCTGCAGCATCCCACAGA